CGTGCACTGGGAGCAGAGCTGGGGGGAGAGCAGTAACTACTTTAGGGACCTGGAGATGGTCACCCAGGTTTTAAGCCAGGTTTTCAGTGCTGGGCTCTCTCTGGAGAGCTGCATCACCTCCTTAGCCCAGCACTACCAAAAGTGTGTTTCTAAGAGCCCTCCTGATGCCATGATGTGCTCTGCTCCCTATCCTGATCACCGTGCTGCTCGGGCAGCTCTCCAGAGCCTGCCTGCCTTTGGTTTGCTTCTCACCCCTCTGGCGTGCCAGGGTAAGCCATCTCAGAGCTCCAAACAGGCCTCCCCCACCACAGCAGCAGCTCAGCAGCAGCGGCCGGGGGCAGCCTCTCTCACAGCTGCTAAGAGTCCCGTGATTGTTCTCCAGAGTCCACTGGCAGCTCCTCGGCTCCCCATGGCTCTTCAGCATCAGCCTGAAATCCCCCAGGCTCTCCTCCTCCAGCGCGAGCCTGCGAGCCCTCAGTCCTCATCAGATCCTTCATCTCCTGCGGCTAAACTGGAGGCCACAGAAAACCTGGAGGGTGACAGCGAGAAGGAGATTAACCGAAGGACTGAAGAACGCATCAAGCAGTCTTTGAGCGATATTTGCACGGAGCCCGCTGCCAGGCTGTGCCTGAGTGAGTTTGCAGTGGTTCAGAAGTCCGTGCAGCTGATAGGCACCAGGGAGGACGCTCTCAGCATACAGGTCCTGGAGGATGCCCACAGGGTGGACCTGAAAGGCCTGAGCAGGTGCACTTGCCACTTCAACCAGATGTTCCAGCTGCCCTGCCGGCACATCCTGGCCGTGCTGAATTCGGACAGGAAGACCTTGCAGCCGGAGATGCTCGGCAGACAGTGGCAGAAGGGATGCGATGCTCGTCAGGCTGGGCGAGACGGTGCTGATGGCCTCTTGGAGATCCTGAAGAGCTCCTGGAACAAGTCTTTGGATAAATCCCTGGTGGTGTCCTTCCTCACGGCAGAGATCGGCCGGCTTCTCACCCACTGCAGTGGCGAGGAGTTTGAGCGCAGGTACAGAACCCTCCGGGAGCTGGCTGACAGCTGGATCGGGCCCTACATCAAGGTGAAGCTCTAGCACCGAGCGGGAGCTAAGCTGGCCGCTCCGCATGCGGGTCCTTGGGAGCAGCGGGGCAGCAGATGTGTTCATTGCTCCACCACTGTCCCCGCTTCCCCCTTGACTCCCCTCAGCCTGTCACTCCCTCGGGGCTCGGCATGGAAGGGGCAGTTTGGGTCCTTTATCTGCCGAGCGAGCGTTGCCTTTTGCACGGGGCAGCTGACGAACCGGATTGGGAACTCCAGATTGCACTGGAATGGGAAACCAGCTGCTGACCTGACTAACAGGAGATGTGGCTGGGAGCCAGCCACGGGTGGTGCAGCGTGAGGGGTGATAGTATAATAACATGTGACAAAATTATTTGATCCGTGGCCAGTGCCTGCAGGTCATTCCAGCATCCTGCTGCGAGGTGTTGTGCAACAAAGCCAATAAATCAGCCTTGTATCGCTGGGGAGCTGCGTCTGTCTCTGCGCCAGCTGCGGCCACCCCTCCCTGCCGGCAGGACGGGACAGTGGGGCTCACTCAGCCCATGAGATCAGTTAGGGCTTTGAACAGCACTTCTTGGTGGTCTTGCCTTGTTGCGG